CGATAATCGCCGGATCCAACCCCAACAGCAAACAGTTAGTGTACATTGCACTCTCTAGCTCTATCTCTCTCTCCTTCTCTCTGTCCATTGTCATCACCAACCTCCCTCTCTCTCTCTCTCCTCTCCCTCTCCCTCTCCTCTGTTTCTCGCTCTTCTGCTCCGTTCTGAATTCGGTTCAATTTTTTGGGGGTACTTTTTGGGTTTTCTTGAAATGCAGGTCCCTGACGGAGTTTTCAGATTTTGAATAAGTTGGGGTTATTTTGAAAATAGGGAAATGTGGAGGGACCTGCGTTTAAAACTTCAATTTTTTATTTTATTTTTTTTAATATTTTTGTTGGAGGGGATTTGTGCTTTATTTGATGCCGTTTTGAAGAATTTGAAAGGTGCTGACGTGGGCTAATGATATAGTATTGCCGGCCTGCTCCGAAAGCGTTAGGTGTCGTCACGTCTTGTAGTTTGGTGAGGATGACAATATGCTCCACTGGACCATCTGTTTTACGGTGATCCAGTGGTTAAGATGAATTTTAGGTTCGTGTGAGAATGAATTCATGTTGTCTTTTAACTTGCTCATATAGTTTAATTTTGTGTTCAATGGAGTCAAATGTGCATTGAGTTGATTGACTATCATATAACGAGATATACAATTTTCTTTGATTTTTGCGACTGTTTGGCTTTCTAACGGCAGAAACCGAACCAAATCGCGGAGTAAAATTTGGATGAGTATGTTTAGACGTTTTTTGGCCAGTTTGAGGGCACCTCTAGTTAATAACACTGAACCACACTATGTGATCCTTTGGAGTGACTTAGATTTGTAATTTTGCTTAGCTTGGAGACAAATGAATGAGTAAACATAAAGGTTTATATAAGAAAAGAGTAGGTTTGGTGAGCAATAGACTGTTTGGGGGTGGGGGGATGCAGCCATTTTATATGAATTATTTTAGAATACTTTTTTAAGGAGAGTCTATCTAGAGTTTTAAATTCAACAGTAACAACTAAACACGAGGGTTGCGCTTGTTGTGAAACTTGACCCAACACCTTAAGACACGAGCTGACAACAGCCATGCATCATCTGTGTCCGCATTCCCCAAGGCATCCCTCTCTTTCTAAGTTTAGTGAATATAGTGATTCAATTCCAAAGTTTTAGTTGATTAGAAATCTTTTTGCTTTATCAAAATGATGATGCCTAAAGCAGGCCGCCCAAAATTGAACATGCTTGTGCGGCTAAAATATGATCTTTATCACATTCATCCCAAAAGCCCACCAACAAAGGCAAAATTGGCTTTTGTATAAAAGCAATTTTCAAGAGCCTTTGTATTTTTTTTTTGTTTAAAAATGGGGACAATTGGTGGCAAATTACGGTTATCCATCCCTTCAAGTTTGGAGGGTTGGGAAGACTCACAGAGGCATTTCAGCCTCCTCCTAGCCACAAGTTTGGCATCCACACCAGCAGCTGGTTTTGAACCCGAGACCTCCAGTTTTTTATTTGAAGGAAGCCTAGCAATCCGCCTTTTACCAATGGACCACCATCTCGTAGTTGAAACTTTGTATTATTTTGATATAGGATATTAGGAGTGGGGAATTCAGTATGTAGTCCAATATCTTAAGGGATGGGGAATGCGTTTTAGATTCGAAACTCTCTTCCCTAAATTATAGTTGATAAGGTTTTGGGTTTCCACCCATGTTTATAGATTCAAAACTTCCCCTTTCTAAAATTATTGTAATATTTTGGAACATTTCCACTCCCCTTAATAATAATATTTTTTTATTCATAACAAAAGAAAAAGAGGAGAAGGGAATTCAAACTATGCCAAACACTGTGCTTTAACACAATTTGATGTGAAATCGAGGGATCAAATTTGTTTTCAATGGAGTTAGACCTGAACCTTTTGACTTTTAAGTAAAGAAGAACATTTTTAATGACAAATACTATTAAATCGTAGCACTAATGACTAAGAAGTTTGAGTTGAAATCTATATCATGATGCATAAAATAAGCGTATCCGTTCTAACCAATATGATTGTCCTGCATTTGCTCTAAAATGCATTTTAGGTCCATAGGCGGCCACAGCCTTTTGGTTTTTTGGTCCAATCCACAAGCCACAGCCTATGTGGTCTCCCTTGTTTATTTTCTTCTTTGAAGCCCACATGCAAATCAGTTGGCACCCAAATTGTACATGTAAGGGAGCGAGCTAAGTCTTATAATGGGCTAGCCATAATAATATGGTTCAAATTTGTAATAATCGAATTTAAAACCTTTCACTTATAACTGTAAAGAAAAATGAAGACTACTAGACCGTAATACTAAATGTTCATTTATAAGGGTTCATTTGAATGCACTTTTAAAATGACTGAAAGCACTTTTAGAGAAAATGTTTTTGGATTCAAAGCACTTTAAGTACTTTCTGCAAGAAACATCAATTATGTGCTTCTTCCAGGAAGCATTTAAGTGCAATTCCAAAATTTACTTGCATTTTTAGTAAAAATTAGTTCTAAAATATTTTCACCAAAAACGTTTTCAGTCATTTTAAAAAAACATCGGATACCGCTTTTCCCATTCCCGGCACTCAAAAAGGAAGGAATAACAGAGTATGCCATACGTATCAAATACGTATAAAATACGACTCACAAAGCGAACGGCGAATCCCCTATACAAATAAAAGAATAGAATCGTATAACTTAATCGGATCCCTCTGATTCTTTTTCTGTTGGTGTGGGATTTCTCGGAGTCTCGCTGATGATCGTTGATGCTTCTTCTCACACACCCTTGAAAAGAAGGAAGTTCAGAAGCATTGATCCCATGGAGGCCGAAGAAGCTCAGGTTTTTTTTTTTAACCCAAAAAGTCCCAAACTTTCACTCACTCGCATTCGTATTTTCTTGATTTCAGTTTCTGGGTATTTGTTTTTTATGCTGGGTCGATCTGGGTTTTCTGTATAATCGATTATTTTGGGGTTTAAATTGTTGATTAGTAATTGTTGGCTGTTTCTAAGTTGTGGGTTAGTGCCACAATTAGATAAAGATTTACAGGATTTTGCATAATCTTTAAGAACTTATCTAATTGTGGGATTGATTACTTCTTATCAAGAGATTAAAGTTCTTGGGGAATGGATTACTTGAATTTAGGTGCAGCAAAAATAGGGAAGGTTTTGCAGTTTGGGATTCTAAGTACAGTTTACAGTCTTTGTTGGTTTCCGTTTGCAATTGCGTGCAAGTTTTTTGTGTGCTTCTACTTCGTGTTTTCGATTAAATCGATGTGTAGAAGCATTGTAAGTTTGTGACTACAATATCCGAAGTACATGTTGTGGTAATTGTGTTAGTTGGTGCAGAATATTGCTATTCTTGTCGTGGATGATGATACGAAATACCGCTTTTCGAATTGAGATCATTCTGTTTTCAAGATTAGATTGTTCCTGCTATATCTTATATCACATTTACGTTTTCCTTTTTTGATTTGTTGGGGTGAATTCAGGCCAAGCTCACAGCAGCAAAAGAAAAGTTCGGGAGAGAAATCCGTGTTTTTGAAACAACATCAGCATCTTCTTCTTCACAAAGTGAAGAGTCTAATACTGGCATGAAGCAATTCAACTAATATGCCCCATATTTTTTTCCAAAGCAAGTGCATTTAGACGTCTGATAGAATTTTTCTTTGTGTCATTTTTTTTGTTTGGCAGAGGAGACCGAGGATTTCTATGAGTTCACTGCAGAAGATTATTATCGGGTTTTGAATGCAAAAAAAGAAGGTAATTGACAGAAACTGTGTCATCTGTAATTGTAGGGGAAATATAAAACCTTTCGCATGCTTTTTAAGCTACATAATCTGCTTGTAAATCTTATAGCAAGTATATATGAATGGGAAACACGTCTTGTATTCGCACAAACTAAAAAACACGCACGCATGTATTCGTACACATTGTATTTATACTGACTATATTTTGTCGATGCAATATAAACAGATAAGACTCTTAAAACACGAAAGTTAAGAGAGGCAGAGAAGGCTGCCCGCAGGTCAAGGATAACAAAGGTGCCCTTTCTCTGACTTTCTTTTCCTTGTTGTAGTGATTGTTTGTAGTTGTTTGTAGATGATCAACTCCTTCCATTATCATCAGATAGAGACTGTGATCAGGGTTTCGATTTTAATTAGTCGTATAGTTGCTTTTGCCCATTTATTAAGTTATTGTGCTTATGTATGCAGACAGTGATTAGGGTTCGATTTCCTGATAATCACACATTGGAGGCCACTTTTAATCCATCAGAAACAGTTCAGAGCTTGGTCGATCTCCTCGTCAAAGTGGTTGCTCGACCAGAATTACCATTCTATATATGTATGCAAATACGAGTCAAAATATTGCGTTTTCCAATTTTGATTCCAGAGTAGGGTCTAACATTTACTTGTGCAGATACCACTCCTCCGAAGAAGCAGATAAAAGACACGGCACAGGATTTTCACACTGCTGGATTTGTTCCCGGTGCAATTGTGTACTTTTCATATGGCACACCAAAAGGTTGGCACGTTTTCTATAATTCTTTGGTTTGTAAATAGCAACGTTTGATGCGAAGTGATTAAGATTCCCATTTCGTGTCCAGCGGATGATGCTGCAGATGCCGTGTCAGGTCCCTTTCTTCAGGAAGAGGTCATGTCCTTGAAAGGTTTGGAACTCATCAAGAAGCATGTAGAGCCGCCTGTTCAGCCTGCACCAGAAACCACAACGGAGGCACCGCCCCCTGTTGTCCAAGAGAAGAAGCCCGAGGGGAAGAAACCTGCTAAGCCGAAGTGGCTGAAAATGTGACATGAATCGCGTAACTTCGCAGGTGTACCCTATTAATCGTTACATGTTCTGTGAATCTTCGCGCACAACTTGTTATCTTTAAGATTGTGCTGGTTCTCGCAACTTGCCCTCGGATGCTTGTTAGGAGTTTCAAGAGATACTTCTGTTCTTTGCTAAGATAATTTGTATTTTCTAGAACGAAACAATGTATGAATTTTAGCATCATGTTTGGATGTAACAATACCAAAACAACAACCCCGTATTGCCTCAACCTTGTTAGCTTAGTTACAATACAAATATCCTCAACCGATCTTCCTTGAAGTCCCGCAACTTCGGAACGAGGATCTCAATTTTCTTGGTTTAGACACCGCCGCATGAGCTCTTGATGCTCAAACCAATTCTAATAAGTGACATAAATGAACCTGTTGATAATTTTATCAAATGCTTTCAAGTAAAAAGCATCTTTAGTTCCTCTATGCGAGCAGTTCGAACTTCTTGGTCCGTCAAGGCTCCGGAAATCAGTCGCTGTTTACGCGCTTGCACTGCTTCCATTCGTTCCTCAACCGTTCCCTGCCATCCAATAACATCCGAGTATTACTAGACCAATCAGGGGAGAAAACTGTTACGTTCATTGGTGATGATGCCTTTGGAAGACGCTCATTAGTCTCCAGTACAAAATAACACGAGTACCTTCACAATAAACCGCTTGATCATCACCCTTTTTGTTTGTCCAATGCGATGAATACGCATGACAGCTTGTTCCTCGACTGCTGGATTCCACCATGGATCCTGCAAACATGATTCGTGTGACTCACTAAACCAACCAAATTTACGATAAACTTAAAGCTTTCTGCTATTATATATAAGAAAAAATGACACCGAGTCACAAATTTATCTTAAAAATCTTGAGTGTGTGCCTACCAAGACAAAAGCATTTGATGCTGCTGTCAGATTTATTCCAACTCCTCCAGCCTTCAGTGACATTAGCAATACCTGATGCAACAACCAAGCTCCAATGGTTACACCTAAACTGTCAAGTAGAATGAAAAACCACATCCCTCGTTCGAAAACAGCACGAGATAGAATACGACGATGTCAGGAGTCACAACCTGGATGTCACTATCTTCTGAAAACTGTTTTAACACTTTCTCACGCTGCTGTTGATTCAGAGTCCCATCAAGGCGAAGAAATGGAATGTTACTCCTGGTCAAAAAATGGAAAAGAAATCAATCATAACTCTTGAGCGAAAAAGTACCAAGATACTATAACTCGCAAACAGCAGGTGATCAAAAGAGTAGAGTTATATTTCTTGCTTCATTACACCATAGGCACTTTCTTTAAATATTTTATTCATACGGTAATTTTTACCGAGAAAGAGGGATCTGCAAGAGGTCCAGAAAAGCCGTCCACTGGCTGAAGACAATGCTTTTTGTGCCTGATGAGCGAAGAGATTCAAGTTCACGCAAAAGAATGACAACTTTGGATGATTCCACCCAGTTTTTCTCAACATCAACCTGAAACCGACTCTCAGTGGGTGCTGTAATAAGATCTTGCTTACTGATGGTCTTCCTGCAAAAAACAAACCGTTAAACCTTAAGAACATAATAGGAAAATTCAATACAAGAACTTCAAGAAGAACAGAAATTGAACCTTTGCCCATAAACTAAATAAAAATAAAATCCTATTGAAACATAAGGCATTACTTAAATACCTACAAACAGGACATAGACCAGAACTTGAGTTCCGCCAACTTGCCAAGAGACATTCACGGCATAAGCGGTGAGCACAAGGTGTTAACACTGCATCTTCAAAGGCTTCAAGACATATTGGACACTCTCCCTGCTCCCCCTTACGTATTTCTTCTACAACTTCTTGAACATAAGCACGTGAAGGCAGATCTTTGGCTTCCCCTTCCACAGAATTCTGTTTTCCTTTAAGGAAACGTCTAGCTAGCTTATCCAGATCAGAAAAGTCTTGTGTATCACCTCGGCTGAACAAATCAAACAAACTTAAAGCTAAGTTGTAAAAACTTAAAAGAGACATTTTCCAGTATACATTTTTATAAATTTAAAATATTATCTATCAAGTCCAAGGAAAAACAATTATAAAGGCATAGAAAGAATGATTGCCTATTCAAAGCACAAGTCATCATATATGTATCATAAAGCTCCTAAGGCTACATCTGGAGAAAAGAGGGGTTAAAAACACACACCTCATCACAAGAAATGGATGATCACAACACTGGCGAAGGCGTAAAAGCAACTCCAATATGGATGCATAGTTATGAAGAACCCGTCCTTGCTCAACAAATTGATCAAACTTCACCTGAAAATAAAGAGAGAATTATTAATTATAATGCACCAAAGACACAACAAACCAATACAATACACAAAATGCAATCAGGTAAATCAGAATATATACCTTTGATCTTTTAAAGAGGGCCTCGTAGAAGTCTTTTTCAGCTTCTGTGAGTTCACAGTAAATCACCTGAATATCAGCTGGAGGAAGAACTAAAATTGGCCTGGAACAAACAGTAAACCTTAAGAGCCAAAATAGAAAGGAAAAGAAAAAAACTGAAAAGAATGACGCGTCCTGAGCTAGTAACTCACCTGCCTTCGCGGTCTGTGCTAAACTTTGTTCTCCTTAACATGATTGGCTTTAAGATAGACTGAACCAACTTTAATCCTCTCTCATCACCCTCCTCAAAAGGTTTTTGTACGAGTTTATTCCACCTGAATTAAAAAAGAGAGTCAACTCAGAAACATATTTCTGTGAAAGGTGAAAAAAAAGACTGGACAAGACCGTAAAGTAGAACATACCATGCCCAGTTTCCCCAAGGTTCTACCCTCAAAAACCGGAGAAGACTGTAAACGTCCTCCAGGTTGTTCTATGGGGGAAAAAATGTCAGGATATATAACACAAAATTAACCTCTTAAAATTAACAAATTCTCCAAATCTTATAAGAATAAAACATTCATCCCAATACAGATAAAACGTATTCAAGGATCAGGGTTTTACAAGTCTATCAAGGAACTAAATGACCTCCAAACAAGAATATTGAGAATGTTTGGAGAGATTCTCCCTTTGCTTAAAGTTAGAAACATAAAATATTTATGGCCTCCTCTTTAAACAAATTTCTGAAAAAGTACTTTACCTGTATGGGTGTGCCAGTAAGACACCATCGCCGACCAGCAACTAAAGCAGCAGCAGCAATGGAAATTTGGCTTTTTGAGGATTTTATGGTATGCGCCTCATCAAGAACCACTCTAAACCAACTAACCGAGTAAAGTCCCCCATTTTCCTTTGGATTCTAGATGGAAGGAGAAAGTAGGGTAAAGTTAAAAAGAAAAGAAAAGATGCAGAAATTCATTTTCTGTTGAGATGTGCGATACTCAAAAATCTGCATGATATACGGGTAGGAGTTGTTTGGATACCTCAGCAGAATATTCAGAGGCTAACACTCCATATGTAGTGATTACGACATCACTTTGAGCTAAAATCTTTGCATCCTTCGGTCTACTTTGTCCATAATGAACATATACCGATAGAGAACCAGGTTTAGCATGAGTTTCGATCTCTGCCTGACAATACAGACAAACTTTTAGATAATTCTTGAATATAGAAGATTTATCACTGTGCACGTCAAAAACTGGTATTCGTGCAAGTAAGCAGAACTACAAAAATGTTTTTCAAAATGACAATAACTACCTTCCACTGGCCTAGAAGAGTCATAGGACATATAATCAAACAACCACCATCCTCAACCGTGTTTTTTTGCTTCAACAACTTATCAAATCCTGAAAATTTTGGGACCTTCTTTGGTAGGTCTGATGAGTGGTCTGAAATGTCGGGGACTTCAATATCTTCACTGGAAGACTGGCTTGTAGGGTAACTAACTGATAATCCATGTCCTGAATGAGTAAGAAGGAGCGATATCGTCATAATGGTCTTCCCCAAGCCCATAGCATCAGCCAGAATCTTCAAATGCATGGTAAAGGCAACACAATCAACAAACTTGATAATAATGTTTGCAAAAAAAATGTATATAATCAAGGGTGGAGCCAACTTAAGACTTACTCCTCCTCTGGCCATTTGAAGTGTGCTTGGAAATTCTGTTGTTGCATCACCAGAAAATGCATTCAAATAGATAACACGGTCCCTCCTATATGCAAAGGGCCCTGTGAAAATCAAATCATAAAGTAGGATAATACAAGATTAACAAACCAGCGTACTTGTCTGCAAGATGATATGCCTCCCAACAAGGGTGAAGAGTCATTGCTCCCTCATCCATGCAGTGTCCCTTTTCCAGTTGGATCATCCAATGAAGAGCCTGCTTTTGGTACGGACGCAGTTCACACTGAAGTGTACCTGGGGGATCCATTTCCTGAAATAAAATACTTCCTTGGTGAATTTTCAGGTACATGCAGGAGCAAGCTCCATATATGTACAAGATCGGCATCTAATACCTCTAGCTCAGAGCTGTCACCAATACCAACAATGTTTTCTAGATCAGCATCTGAAATAGACTCCTCATTTTCAACTTCATCTCCATTTTGACCAGGGATTTTAGGCTTATTGGCACGTAACTCTGGGGCACAAAGTCCAAAGCTATCCTGTTCAGGCAAAAATTACCCACTGAAATCCTGAGAACGTAATTGGAGGAAAAAGCATTACCATTTCAATACCTTTGGGTCCAAAGGGCGCTTTCTCGTGTACAAGTCACTTGGAGTAAATTCTGCCTATTAAAAAAAAAAAAAAGGAATAACAACATCACCACCTCTAAACCAAAGAAACAAGTTGAAAGCAAGGCCAAATACTTAACTTCCATTAAAAAAGTGTCCATATGTCATTTACAATAATTGATCACCTTCTTGAAAGGAGACAGTCCTAGCAACCGGAACAATGTTGGAAGAGGATGAACCACTGTTTCGTCTGTGGAATTATTGGCTGCCTTAAGTGAGGTCTTGTTTTGCTTAAGGAACATTGAACTATTGATATACACACTGAACCGCCCCATTAAAAAACAAAAAACAAGAACCAAGAAACAAATTTATCAACCATATGCATTACTTAATCAATACAAAATCAGGCGAACTATACTTCAGAACTGTCATCAACAAATTATCGAAAAGTATGGGTCTTCCCGAAGAGTATACCTTATTGACAAAAGAATGGTGTCCATAATGCTCAACACATCAGGAGCAGATTTGCAATGCCCCTCAATTCTAACCTTCTTATCCCTCACAAGTGGCAATAAACACCGAGCCCATTCCTTTGGAATTCTACCAATCTACCCAAAAAAAACCATTAATCCGAACACAATAATTCAAAATCCAAATAACCAACCAATTAAACCACATTTCCAATCCTCAAAAAGGAATACCTCTCCGGAATCTTTCGTTGAAAACCTCACAATCTCCGAACAAGCAGCTGCCTGCCGTCCCCTCCCAAAAACCTTGCCGGGTGACGGAGATGTCGAACTGCTCTTTGTTGGAAAAGTAAAATCCACTTCGTCTCCAGGCCTAAGCCTCCTACCTTTACACGTTGATAAACCTGAAACTTCACCGCTGCCCACAAACCACCACTGGCTCCCAGCCGAGCTCTCGCACCGTGCAACGGCGACTTCTTCAACCACGTCGTCCCCTGAATTACTGGGACAACTACTCCCATTTCCTTCGGTACCCAAAGTGCAATTACTCTTCTGAACCCCATTTTGCTTCAAATTTACGACCTCGGAGCTCAAAATTTGGGGATTCTTACGAAAAGCCGGTGGTCTTTCCTTCAATTTGAAACTGGGCGTGTCGAAGATTATGTTGATTGCGGCGGTGACGTCGTTGTTGGCCATGTGGAGGGCTCTGATAATGTCCATGTCGGAGTATCCTGAGTCGACGATTGATCGGACGGTGGACAGCAGTTCGTCCGTAACCTTGTTTTTCCCCATCGCGGACAATTTCGAAAACTTTCAAAAACCCTAACCCTAATTCCAAGCTTGCAAAATTGGAAGTTCGACGGAGAGTGCCGACCCCGGGCGGCGCTGGTGGCGAAATTAAAGGCGGAGATAGGTCGGAAATCAGAGAAACGGAAGGGATAAGATGTGCGGCCCCGGCGCAAGATAGTGGAGGTTTGGTCTGAGCAATTGTGATTGAAAGAAAAGGGCGCGAGTGAGTGAGGGTGTGCAGAAGAGTGGAGAAATGGCGGCAAACATATGAATCGTGGGACGGAAGCTTCTATGATACGCGCGTTACACGTCCTCTGTCCGTCCATTTGGTGCGTGGGACCGACGGAATGGAAAAGAATGGGGCGGGGCATTTCGTCTCATGTTTGGTGTGCTTAAAATGGATGGAACCTGTTGTTTCACGGAATGAGTTTTTGGTGAATTTTTGTTCCACCTCATCCTCTAGAACGACTCGTTCCACATCTATGAAACACAAAATTATAACATCTCTGTCTCCATCTTCTTCCTCCTTGTTTCCATTCGGGGGCATCTTTGCTCATTATCCGTTCTATCTCGTCATGTCCCGTCCCGTCCCTTCTGCATACCAAACGATACCTTATGTCACGCAAACGTTTTTAGTCATTTTAAAAATAGTTTCAAACCAGCACTTAATTGGTCACCTGACACTTTCATATGATTCATGTCGTTATTTGCCTCAGAAAGAGATCCTCTCTGGATCTTTTCCTCCAAAACCTAGGGATCAAGTGATCCAGATCTTTAAAATTAGATCCAATGGCTAAAAATAGAGAAGTTAGTAAAAACTTTTAAAAGCTATAATAATTTTTAGCCGTTTGATCAATTAAGGGTACCGATCACTTGATCCCTAGGCTTTGAAGGGAAAGATCCGAAGATGATCTCTTTCCCTTTGCCTCTTGAGTCCTTCATATGTAATTGGATACTTCATATCATTGTTTTATCATACGATTAAAAAAAAATCATCGTCACTATTTTACAAAGTTTAATTTATGTCATTCTTTTTTAACAAGAAGATTATTCATTTATGTGTTATAATATGCGTGAACAATATAATTAACGTTTTAAGAAGCTAAACATAGTATTCTTCGTAAGGAGATACAAAGGTACAATACAAATACTTCAAGGTCTCAAATTTTAATCTCACCTATTTGATTTGTTTTATTTTTCATCACTAATAACCCAATGTATTGAATAACTCGTATGTTTCGTCTATCATAATCTGTACTTAAAATATCCATATGTAAATTTATAGACTCGATGAAAATTATGAAAATTTGCAATGAGGTGGGTAGATCAACTCAACTCAACGCATCCAAATGTAGTCAAAATTAGAGCCAAATTTATCAAAAGACGTTCAATTCAAAATCAGCAATGAGTAATGGCAAAATTTTGCAGTGAAATCGATATATTATTGATTTTCCTATATCTTGCCGATATAAAGTAAAGTTTGCATTTCATTTCCTTTCGTATCAATCCTAATTTTTCAGATGTTAACAAAATTAACAATTTCGTGACTATTTTAAACATCCTCACAATTTCTCATGTATATTTGCCTAGGCACGTCCATGTGTTCCTTAACGCCCCATAATTTATAAGCCACAACGACAAAAATAGAAACATGCGGAGATAGGGATTTGGATCCCATCTGGATTCAATTTGTGAGAATTCTATGGATTCTTACATCTTATTTGTTCATTATCTATCGTGCAATCAGAATTTATTTTTAAAAAATTATTTAAAATTACACACAAATAATACCTAACAAAAAAACTGCATTATACACAATGAACGAATATGATATGGTTCGGATATGATCCTCATCTCGAAGATAGGAAGTGAGGTGGCGTGCAATGAAATAAAAAACGTATAAAAGTATGACTATCATGTTCGGCGCCCAGTGATGACGAATCGAATCGAGTTGACATTAAGGGGTGTAGTCAAACTAAAGGGGGTGTAGTCAAACTAAGATTTTAAAGGATTTTAAAAGTGATAGATTTGATAGGATTTAAGAGGATTAAAGACTCATACAAAATTCATATGGATTTTAAAGAATTTGAATGGATTGTGGTGGATTGTGGAAGAAGGATTTGAAATCATAGGGGGTGAGGTTGGATCATTTTTAATTTTGGTTATACATACTTTTTGCTTTCAAATCCCACAATCTCCATTTCAGATGAGATCCAACCGATTAATATCAATTCCGAGAATTTGATTGAGACAAGCCAGGTCGACTCGGCGCAACCCATCTTCAAATCGCGGCTCATGAGGCTCTTTGACCAGCAGTTCTCGAGCGTGCTTAGAATATCTTATGCGCAGGAGAAGCCGACTGCTACTAAGTCGCCGCCGCAGCAGCAGCACTACATTACTAGCAGGATGGAGCAACTGTCGCCGTCGCTACCAAGTTTGAGTCGAGCTCGAATCTCGGCTGAGCAGAAAGAGAAAAAAATAAGGAGAGAGGAGGAGGGGAATGAGGAATTGGCTAGGGGGGAATGATGGTGGTTATCGGCATTTGTGAAAACATAGGAGCAGAGGAAGACGCGAGGGAGTTAGTCCCCGCTAATCCCATGGTTCTCGACGGGTTTGCTAGTAAGGGAGTTAGTCCCCGCGAGTCCCTTCTAATCTCATTAAGCTTAGTCCCGGACTGTTAACAAACACAGGACTAAACTACTACATAGACCAGTCCAAGCCAGCGAAAGCTAGCGAGCTAAAACAAACACACCCTAAGAGGATTAAAGACCACTACAAAATTTATATGGATTTTAAAGAATTTGAATGGACCGTGCTGGATTGTGGTGGAAGGATTTGAAATCCTAAGTAGTGAGGTTAAGTTCTTTTTAGTCTTGGTTATATATATTTTTTTCTCTAAAATCCCACAAAATCCACAACTTATTGAAATCTTCAAAAAATTTAATTTTTTTAATATACTTAGATTCGGATGAATTTTAAAATCCTTTAAAATATTTTAATTGACTACTCATAGATTTGAATGGATTCTAAAATCATTTGAATGGATTCTAAGATCTTTTAATTGACTACCCCTATATTTAAATGGATTCTAAAATCTTTTAAAATCTTTTAAAATCTTTTACAATCCTCTTAAATATAAGGTTAACTACACCCCTAAACCATGTTACTAATGCCAACACCTACACCGGAGAGAGAAAGAGAGAGAAGCAGAAGAAAGAAATCATTTAAAAACGAAACGCCACCAACCGGCAACCTCCTCATCCGTCACTTTCCATTTGCTATTCAACACCCACTTCTGACTCCCTCCTACTTCCCACACACACTCTCTCTCCTCTCACTGCATCTCAAAATATCAGTTTCTGCGAATTCGATCCGGCTTTGCTCAATAACCAGGTTCGTAATCTCTTATTTTCTTACTTAATTTGCTGAATTCGTAAGCTCTTAAGCAAATTTGATCGCTTTCCGATAGCTCAGATCAATTTTTTTTCCTTCAAAATTTTTAAATTTTTTTTTGATTTTTCAGCTTCATTTTCTAGCATGCAATTCGGTTCTTACAAGTTCGTTGTTGTGAAATGTGAATTTTTGCATGTAGTTTTTTTAAATTAATATTTTGGGGGCCGAAAAAATGGATAATTTTCTTAATTAATTACAGTTAATCGCAATTAGTGGAGATTAGTCGCTCCAGTGGAATGTGCTTAGTATTCAAACGCTGTATTATTGCGAATACATGCGAATCTCGTTTTGATTCCGGAACAGTGATTTGCGTCATTGACTTATGCTTCAAGCTGCCATTGATCCAATCGAACTAAAAGATTTAAGCTTTTTTTTTTTGTTTTAAAAAAATAGCTTTTGAGCTGCTTATACAGCTTACGAAATGGGATCGGGATCATGGCACATGGAGAAAAGAGACAGCTTCCGGGTCGAACCCGTTAGAGACATTGATAATGTGCTTGAAAATGGGTCTCTCTCGATTATCGTGCTTGGCGCTTCCGGTGATCTTGCCAAGAAGAAGACTTTTCCGGCACTCTTCAACCTTTATCGGCAGGTATATATTACGTTTTTTTGTAGTTGCATGCTTAAATATGATCGATCGTGAACTTATGTGAATTGCACTTAAAATTTGATGAAAAAAAAGTCGGCAGAGTATGCTGTGGAACAATGCAATGTGAGTGTGACATTACTATTGGGTGTGTTGTTGTCTAGGGATTTCTGCTACCAGAAGAAGTTCACATTTTTGGATATGCGAGGACTAAGATTTCTGATGATGAGCTAAGAAACCGCATACGTGGGTGAGCTTTCTTTTCTGCAATCTTTTTCGCAATTCCATTATCATTCGTACGAGTGTTCATAACTGTACATTTCGTTTAGCTCACTTAAAATAATGCTAGGTTCAATTCTTTTCCTCATCTTTTCTGGACTGCTCTGCAGGTATCTTGTCAGTGACAAAGGAGCTTCGCCCAAGGACGTGGAGAATGTAACCAATTTTTTGCAACTGGTCAGTGCCTTATGCAACATTTTTGTACAGCTCCATTCATATAATATCATTCTGTAAAGATATTGAATTGCATAATAATTTTCTTTTGTAGATCAAATATGTTAGTGGTTCTTATGATGGTGAGGAAGGATTTCGCCTGCTTGATAAGGAAATTTCAGATAATGAAATCTCAAAGAATAGTGCGGAAGGATCATCCCGCAGGCTCTTTTATCTTGCACTTCCTCCATCAGTATACCCCTCTGTCTGCAGGATGATCAGGCATTATTGCATGAATAGATGTAAGCTTTTCCCCAATACAATTTAGGTTTTCACCAAAAACACTGTATCAACACGGATAATTTCAATTAGCTACTCTTTCTAACAGTCATACATGTTGGCATTAAATGGTTCCAGAGTGAAGTTAAATGACAGGTCGATATTAATATTTACAATTGTCTGATTATGATCATATCAGCTGATCTTGGTGGATGGACTCGTATTGTTGTTGAGAAGCCATTTGGCAAGGATTTGGACTCTGCAGAACAACTCAGTAACCAGATCGGGGAGTTGTTCGAGGAATCACAAATTTACCGTATCGATCACTATCTGGGGAAGGAATTGGTGCAGAATCTGGTAATATTATAATGTCTGCATATACTTGCTTAGACGTTTCTGGTTATTAATATTAATGAAATATGCTTATATTTTTATTTGTATGTAAATTTGCAGTTAGTACTCCGTTTTGCAAATCGATTCTTTTTGCCCCTTTGGAACCGAGACAACATTGAGAATGTACAG